TTTCAGATGAAAAATTGACTAGGCTTAGTATAACTCATGGTGACAATCACTGTATTGTCTTGTCAAGATTCGAGATGTTTAGTTTACGAACAACATCGTACATCTGTAATACTGCTTATGTATGTATGTATGTATGTATGTATGTATGTATGTATGTATGTATGTATGTATGTATGTATGTATGTATGTATGTATGTATGTATGTATGTATGTATGTATGTATGTATGTATGTATGTATGTATGTATGTATGTATGTATGTATGTATGTATGTATGTATGTATGTATGTATGTATGTATGTATGTATGTATGTATGTATGTATGTATGTATGTATGTATGTATGTATGTATGTATGTATGTATGTATGTATGTATGTATGTATGTATGTATGTATGTATGTATGTATGTATGTATGTATGTATGTATGTATGTATGTATGTATGTATGTATGTATGTATGTATGTATGTATGTATGTATGTATGTATGTATGTATGTATGTATGTATGTATGTATGTATGTACTCATGACAGAGTCACCTTCGTATAATGTACTCTGTAATGTAACAGAGATTTCTTATGGATGTGGAAAGGTTCTATCTATTTCCAAGTTTGTGCAAACTTTCACCAATTCTTTTGTTTTGCAGATATCCAGGATGCCATAGTAGACTCGACAGAGGATTCCTATGCTGTGCTACATCTCGCGTGACTCAAGTCACGCAGTGCTCAAATTGTACATATTACTGAACGAAAATAAATGTAAACCTCACGATGTCATACATTTCGAGTACCTTGTATATAAGTTGATCATGTTGACTGATAGTAAATGACATGAACCTGAAGTATATCGTAAACGTTACTGCTGGTATACGATACTGAATTATTTCACTATGATGTTGATAGACCAAGGTTCATGACTTGCATGACTCCTTCCTGGTTTAAATAATTGATACAAATCAGCAGCATCATAGCGATATTATATACTATCTTTTTCATACCCATATTTATGCACACAAATTGATAAAACATGCACGAAATGAATATACATGTACATATAAGTTAAACAATGTAATGGCATAACATTCAAGGAAGTACACCTTCTATTGTTATTCCATAAACCCAGCAAAATCTGTTACGTATTCATGAGAACTTGGATATCTTTCCGTGTAGCCACATAACGTCATTTAATGGAACAGGTGACGCATGTACGTTTCATACATCGACATTTTTCAGTAGGTCATTCTGTGCAGATGACATCTGTAAACATCACAAAGGTTAAGAGCTAGTGCTGTTTGGAGGCTATATTCGAAGCTCCCTGGACACTGCAATTGTGTCGAACTATGCTGCTGAACATATAGTTTTCTCGAAGTGAACGTTCATACATATTCCTTCATTAAGCACAGCTGTTCGGTTGTGACGAACTTTGGATTACTCGAACTATTTGTCTTCAACTGTTTGCATCCTTCAAAACCGCAGTTTATGTGTAGCTACCTTACAAAGGTAAGGTCAGTAATGATGATACACCATAAATTTTGCCTTGAATGAATTCGAACCCAGACTTTCGGTGGGCGAACGAACGCTTTAATCACCTGGCTGCTGTGCCACCCACATGAATGCTATCTGCAGATACTTACTCTAGGTGAATTATATCAGTGACAAAAGTTTAGTAATGGTTATCAATCCTATGGAGAAGGCTGCATTGATATCTCGCAATGTCTCCTTGAAATGGTCAAAACCTGATATGTACGGACTTGAAGAAAACTGAAGTGTTTATTCTCTGCCATAACAACCGACAACAATTACAGATTTCACTATCGCAGTGCAGCCACCAACTCCGACAGGTTTATTATATGATACTACTTGATCTTGAAGTTTATGCTATATTTTCCGGAGTGTCAAAGTAAATAGTTTACAGCTTCACAAAACTAATCTTTGATAGTGACGTTCGAGATTATTCTTCGGTAAACATGATAATAGTTCATAGGAAACACGTAGTTTTCCTTGTATCGACATTAATATCAAAGTCATTTGCACTTCAATGCTGTTCGTCTTGTATCATTTCTATAAGCGAATTAGCCTAACATTTAATATCGATTGTCCATCTTCATTATTGTCGGAGTGACCCGTGAACATCCGGGTCTTCGGTAGCCGATGCTTGCGGTAAGAGGCGACTACGGGGATCGGGGGTCAGGATCCTTGACTTCATTGACACATGTCATTGTATCTCAAAACTCATGACATCAATCACAGGATTCTCTTGTCCAAACTCGATCATTTCAGTTCAATTCATTTATTCTGAAAAGGAACCACCGTCGGCGGTTCATGAGAAAGGTATTGTTAACATGAAAATAATTAGTGCTTTACAAGATGTCGGTTGTATTGTACAGCATTTTGCTTTGGCAAGACACTGTAAAAGTGCTGATAGCTTCCTCCACCTGATGAAGGGGCAAGAAGTAGCCCAGAAACGTCGTGTTGTAAACATTAAAGAAGTTGTAAATCCATACCATTACTTTTTGTGGGGTTTCATTTCCTACTTCAAATGTTCTATTCCACGAAATGAATAAACCTCAATCCCGTGGTGGAGACAGGTTTGTCCATATATAATGTAGGAGGTATCGTGTGTATTGAAAACTCACACAATACAGATATTGACATGAGCGCATCGAAGTCTCTTCGTCAGTGAGTCAACTCACTAGCCTTGACACGGTAATGTGGTTTTGTTGAGAGAGAGAGAGAGAGAGAGAGAGAGAGAGAGAGAGAGAGAGAGAGAGACAAAGAGAGAAACAATTCTTAGAGAGAGAGAGAGAGAGAGAGAGAGAGAGAGAGAGAGAGAGAGAGAGAGAGAGAGAGAGAGAGAGAGAGAGAGAGAGAGAGAGAGAGAGAGAGAGAGAGAGAGAGAGAGACGTTCTTAGTTAATAAAACAATTTACACTACAAAAACGAAAATGTGTTTGTATTCTCGAGGGTGATGGGTAGCCTAGTAGTTACGATATGATTGTATAATTTGCTCGGTTTTTGTAACTTTAAAACGTGATTCGCTACTGTAACAATAGACAGGAAGTGATTCACAAGAAGTCGGGATGCACAAATCACGAGTGTCTTCGTCAGTGAGTTAACTCACTAAGCCATGACACTGTAATGTGGTTTCGTTAAATGTTTAGATGAGACCAAAGCAGAACCTACGCATTTTCCTCGTCCCACCAAAGACTGGAGTTCGATTCCCCACATTAATCAGTTTCTGGTGTGATGTTGTCAAAAATATAGCGGTATAAAATCATCCTTTGCTTGCGTCTTTCAGTCTCATGACATTAAACTGGCTTAATGTCGCAAGTATTTGACGGTTCTATTGATTAAACCTTGGTTTCAAATTTCTGAGTTTCAGCATGCACATTTTCACGACGATTTCAAAGACCGTCATCTATTTCTTACGCTAAGGTTGTTTGATAATAACATGCAAGGCCTCAGAAAAGGTTGTGGATGAAGTTTTCGAATTTGCATCAAATGCAAATCTCCATCTTCTTGATTGTAGTACATGTTTTTTATGTTTTGGTGACGAATTCTTTCTCCTTGTCGCCAGCTTCAAGTATCATAACAGTTTCGTAGTGATTCAGAAACATGATAATGACATGGTCGTAATCGTACAAAAGACTTTGCTTTCCCAACAGATGGATTTGGCTCGTCTAGTGGAGGTTGCTACTATGACCATCTGTGACCCTGCACGTCTCCCAGCTGAAATAAACCACCTCAGAGCAACATTTGTATATATATGTATATATCAATCATAACATATAATGCTGGTAACTTGAGACTTAGTGTGAGATGAGAGGCATTAGCTAGTTCCCTTTATGCCAAAATACTTTCCTAGAAAATTCTATAACATCCTGTGGAAGCCTCTAGAACTATGTCGAAATATAGCGCAAGCCTAACTATAGTACACCACTGCCCCTTACTGAATTCACAGGCACAATGTATAACAGTTGAAACACTGTGGCGCTACGTTTAACACTGCATATAACAGTACTAACAGTACGGGGCATACGTAAGAGAGTCACGTTTAGTTCCCCATCTGTTCCATGTCAATAGTCACGTTCAGTTCCATATCTATTCCATTACAACAGAGACACGTTTGTTTCCAAATCTATTGAGATTTCCATTTCAATACAGTCACGTTTTGTGCCCCATCTATTCCATTACGACAGTCACGTTTCTTTCCCCATCTATTCAATTTCAATACAGTCACGTTTGTTTCCCCATCTAGTCCATTACAACAGAATCACGTTTGTTTCCCTATCTATTCTATTACAACAGAGTCACGTTTAGTTCCCCATCTATTCCATTTCAATAGATTCACATTTATTTACACATTTATATGTAATCCCAAATATAACATATGTTGCATTGAGTAATCATTTATATGTGGAGTTGGAGAGATGGTACGTGGACGCCCGATCGTCGTCTCCCACCACACCACAAACGTTATATTTTCCTTTCTAAATTTGTAAAAAAAGTTTGTCATCTGCTTCAAGATGCTGAATGTTGTTGGAGAACTGGTAATACGGTCGTGAAGGGAGATAACTCGATAAGTGAGCATAATCCTACCAGTTATCATAATCTTGACACGACACGAGCTCACCCGTCCTCTCGTCTCCATGGTAACGACTGATACCGTTATTACTTACCTGTCACCACACAGGCCGATGAGATGTAATCAGGAAGACAAAGTGATTGATAAATAAACTCCAGAGACTGCATGAGATTATCGCCTCTTGTCGATGCTCATGGGGCAATCAGGTGTGAACAGCACTCACTCGCGGATGACGTCATAATAAACGTCACGGCTTGTCATACGTCGCGCGTCTCATTACCGGTGAGCGAACTCACGAGCCTTAGTACTAGCAGGTGCGGATTATAAAAATGCGATAATCAACTGAAGGTCATATATTTGCAGGCAGCAGAAAGAGTGCACAGAACTCTGCGACTTACAGAAATCTGATCCTTTACCGATGGAGTCAAACAACGCCAAGTACGAGAATAATATTTCTGTGGATACTTCAGAATCCCGAGGTAAGATTTATGTTGTTCACATCAAGTTCCAGTGTAATTGCAGATGTATTTATGATACAGTAATCGGTCTGTAGCACTCTATATTATGTTTATAGAGGCGAACAATGGAGTAATTGTAACTCACGGTTACGCCTAAAAATAAAGTTGCTGAATGTGACAACAAGCAAACAAACGATATATCATCCTCAAGTTTCCTTCACATTTTTTTACACAAAAGACAACGGTATCCTCGCCGTTTCGGTTTCATTACAATTTATCATATTGCCATATCGAAATGTTGGGTTTATATTTCAGATTCCAGACACCGGCGCCATATTGCTTTTGTGAACGATGCTTACTCATCTGATGAATCAGAAACAGACGGTAAGAGACTTTATTTTTAACCTTAAGAGGGAGTAGGTTTGGGGAATTGACCCGTCAAATATTTTCTTTCTCACACGAGAAACTGTAAGACAACCAAGAAGAATTATCTGTTCGGATTCCTGGATCTGGGTCGATCATAATGAATTTCTTAAATAGACATCGTACGAATCAAAATATCTATCATTAATCCAGTTTAATGAAAAGCCATTTGTCCTTTAGGTTCATCAGCAACGTCTGGCTATAGTTCCCGAGCTAGCAGTCCCCATGATCTGAGCGACGGTGAGGATGGAGTGGTGTATGAGAGTACGAAGCCGCTCATCCACACGCTGGAGTACATCCTCTGCGTGAAGGAAATGTGTGACGTCACATTCCTTGCTGGCAAAACGAAGGAACCTGTTTACGGACTGCAGGCAGTCATGGGCTCAAGGTCAAGGTAAATGTCAAGAAAGATGTAGAAGAAAAAAATCCCTGAGTGGACAAATGTACTGATCAGCGTTTGAATTTGACGTCGGTCCTTAGGCTCGAAACGGACTGATAGCCACTCGGACCCAACGCTTTCTGCAGGTCCTTTTTCATCCCCAATAACATTATTTCCATATTGAAATTCGGGCCTACACATTCTGATCAGGACTCACCATTTTTTATGATTCTGGGTCCTTAGAGCCTGTAGCCTTTCAGGGTTAAGGGCAACCACTGGTACTGTTGTATCCTCCTCCAGAACATCATTATTTTTATCAATACAGGTAATACTGACAGAAATAACCATTGTTTTGCTTAATATTTATTTTTGTTGTTACAGATACTTCTATCAATTATTTCTATCAAAACGGAAAACACACACGAGAAAGTCCAGCAAGGTTAAGAGGGGATTTTTCTCCTTCTTCAAGAAAAAGTCAAAGAAAACAAGCCCTGAAGCAACTGGAGCATGTGACACCGGAGACAACCACATCACCATTCCTGTTCCCGACTACGACCACGACGTGGTCAGGAAAGTTGTCACATTCGTTCACCTTGGTCACGTGGCCATGACAACAGATAGTGTCATAGGTAAGTATTGGGGGTTGGGTATCTACCAGTGGAAAATCTACATATGTGGAATCGCAATGTGGTTATGTAGAGATTGATTGTAGTGTCATACATATATTATCATGCGTATCATAATGTGATGCTCATATATAGACGGGTATAAAAAGTGATGTATAAGGCGAAATTGCTACCAGGTCTAACTTCAATAGTCAGCTCCCTTCCAGTCGAGCAATATTCCAGAATCTTTCTGTCAACGTTTCACATTTCTGTAGGGAAATGGTCTTCCTATAAGTTCCTTTGAGCTTGTTGGCCAGTCCAGTTAATGTACTTTTCATGAAATAAATATGTTCAAACATTTTCTGTTTGGGAATGGGACATTGTCTTTCAACCAAGATGTCAAAGAGAGCCATACGACACTTATTGTTTCGTGGTAGATATGGATCGCATTGTCAAATATGACGCGTCATTGACAACTTATGTGTTCCCTGTTCTGTAGTACCCATGTGTTTCAGGTGAGAAAATATGCCTTTGCATGTGTGTGAGTGATGGGTGTCGATGGTGGGGCACGCTACGCTCACCTTTTCATTAACACCTGGTATTATCACTCTCTGGTGATTCACAAACAGTAATAGAGATTCAAATGCTCATGATAATCGCACGATCGACTTCGCGTTTAGAAGTGGGGGCTAATATGGAAAGGGGTTTACCGTCTTTATTTAGAAACCACATATGACTATATTATAAAACAGAGCCATGCGTTATCCTATCCGAGCTTGTGGGGAACGAGGGTTTGCATCGATGTGTGGCAATAGTTCCCGTTGGTGACGTGTTGAGCATTTGTATATTTATAAATGGAATGGTTGTAACATAGATACATAAATTTTCCTTCAGGACTGATATGTGCCTCGACTGAATACCAGCTGGAAGACCTGCGCCAGGCGTGCTGGGAGTTCGTAGCCAGATGTTCAACATCCGAAACTCTGCCAGAGCTTCTCAAGTCTGGTGCTCTGTACAGAACAAGGCCACATGTGAAACTATTCCTTCAGATGGTGAGTTACCTATATCTGATACAACCACTAAAGAATATGAACCGAAATAAGCAAATATTTCCTATGCCTTCAGCTTTTGGTGTTTACATTTCACCACTTTTGAGGTACAACCGAAAAGTGCTCTTTTATCAGGATTTAAAAGAGCGTCATGCCACTCTTGCTCAGAAGTTACAAGGTTACAACATTCAAGGCCTCAGTAAAGCTTTCAAGAAGTTTTATGGAAGACATATGGAGGAAATTTCCAAATTTGATGCATCATTTTGACTTGTACCTTACGTTCCCGATTTCAGATGAAAAATTGACTAGGCTTAGCATAACTCATGGTGACAATCACTGTATTGTCTTGTCAAGATTCGAGATGTTTAGTTTACAAACAACATCGTACATCTGTAATACTGCTGTTGTATGTATGTATGTATGTATGTATGTATGTATGTATGTATGTATGTATGTATGTATGTATGTATGTATGTATGTATGTATGTATGTATGTATGTATGTATGTATGTATGTATGTATGTATGTATATGTATGTATGTATGTATGTATGTATGTATGTATGTATGTATGTATGTATGTATGTATGTATGTATGTATGTATGTATGTATGTATGTATGTATGTATGTATGTATGTATGTATGTATGTATGTATGTACTCATGACAGAGTCACCTTCGTATAATGTACTCTGTAATGTAACAGAGATTTCTTATGGATGTGGAAAGGTTCTATCTATTTCCAAGTTTGTGCAAACTTTCACCAATTCTTTTGTTTTGCAGATATCCAGGATGCCATAGTAGACTCGACAGAGGATTCCTATGCTGTGCTACATCTCGCGTGACTCAAGTCACGCAGTGCTCAAATTGTACATATTACTGAACGAAAATAAATGTAAACCTCACGATGTCATACATTTCGAGTACCTTGTATATAAGTTGATCCTGTTGACTGATAGTAAATGACATGAACCTGAAGTATATCGTAAACGTTACTGCTGGTATACGATACTGAATTATTTCACTATGATGTTGATAGACCAAGGCTCATGGCTTGCATGACTCCTTCCTGGTTTAAATAATTGATACAAATCAGCAGCATCATAGCGATATTATATACTATCGTTTTCATACCCATATTTATGCACACAAATTGATAAAACATGCACGAAATGAATATACATGTACATATAAGTTAAACAATGTAATGGCATAACATTCAAGGAAGTACACCTTCTATTGTTATTCCATAAACCCAGCAAAATCTGTTACGTATTCATGAGAACTTGGATATCTTTCCGTGTAGCCACATAACGTCATTTAATGGAACAGGTGACGCATGTACGTTTCATACATCGACATTTGTCAGTAGGTCATACTGTGCAGATGACATCTGTAAACAGCACAAAGGCCAAGAGCTAGGGCTGTTTGGAGGCTATACTCGAAGCTCCCTGGACACTGCAATTGTGTCGAACTATGCTGCTGAACATATAGTTTTCTCGAAGTGAACGTTCATACATATTCCTTCATTAAGCACAGCTGTTCGGTTGTGACGAACTTTGGATTACTCGAACTATTTGTCTTCAACTGTTTGCATCCTTCAAAACCGCATCCTACTGAGTTTATGTGTAGCTACCTTACAAACGTAAGGTCAGTAATGATGATACACCATAAATTTTGGCTTGAAGGAATTCGAACCCAGACTTTCGGCGTGGCGAACGAACGCTTTAATCACCTGGCTGCTGTACCACCCACATGAATGCTATCTGCAGATACTCAATCTAGGTGAATTATACCAGTGACAAAAGTTTAGTAATAGTCATCAATCATATGGAGAAGGCTGCATTGATATCTCGCAATATCTCCTTGAAATGGTCAAAACCTTATGTGTACGGGCTTGAAGAAAACTGAAGTGTCCCAGCCATAACAACCGACAACAATTACAGTTTTTACTATCGCAGTGCAGCCACCAACTCCGACAGTTTTATTATATGATACTACTTGATCTTGAAGTTTATGCTATATTTTCCGGAGTGTCGAAGTAAATAGTTTACAGCTTCACAAAACTAATCTTTGATAGTGACGTTCGAGATTATTCTTCGGTAAACATGATAATAGTTCATAGGAAACACGTAGTCTTCCTTGTATCGACATTAATATCAAAGTCATTTGCACTTCAATGCTGTTCGTCTTGTATCATTTCTATAAGCGAATTAACCTAACATTTAATATCGATTGTCCATCTTCATTATTGTCGGAGTGACCCGTGAACATCCGGGCCTGCGGTAGCCTATGCTTGCGGTAAGAGGCGACTACGGGGATCGGGGGTCAGGATCCTTGACTTCATTGACACATGTCATTGTATCTCAAAACTCATGACATCAATCACAGGATTGTCTTGTCCAAACTCGATCATTTCAGTTCAATTCATTTATTCTAAAAGGAACCACCGTCGGCGGTTCATGAGAAAAGTACTGTTAACATGAAAATAATTAGTACTTTACAAGATGTCGGTTATATTGTACAAAACAATGTACAGCATTTTGCTTTGGCAAGACGCTGTAAAAGTGCGTAAATAAACAGGTACGACTACCAGAGAGTAGATCAGCTCACAGATACGACATCATAGAAGAACGATTACAAACGATACAAAAGGATAATTGGTATGGACGCGTATGGACCCTCATTCTGTACGAAACATCACCTACTTCCTGATAGCTAAATGTTTATATAATGTTTATATAATTTTATTCTAAATAAGAAGAAAACATCGCTGTTGCAGGGTTATGCATTTACAAACCAATGTAGGGATCCGTATTCATGTTACACACACACACACACACACACACACACACACACACACACACACACACACACACACACACACACACACACACACACACACACACACACACACACACACACACACACACACAGACACAGACACACACACACACACATGATGTCGTGAAAGTTTCTCCTATGGTGGTATATTTTATGGAATGTAGCAGTATTACGAATCCATATATTGGTTTGTAAATACATACATAACTTATTCTTTCTTACCAACACAGGGGCTGAAATCCCGTGTTTGTATTGCGTAGGGAAGTAGGGAAAGTATATTCTATCAAATTATATTTTTTTGAATTACGTTTTGTGTGTTTTCATTTCCTACTTCAAATGTTCTATTCCACGAAATGAATAAACCCAACGCATGTTGATAATACACTGTTTTTAAAAGACTACACACTTGAAAATTACTTTCGAAAAACGTACAACAGTTCGTAAACAGTTGAACAAAAATGTTTACTTAACGTCCAAATACATCACGGTCTAAAAAGTATTTCTTCCTGGTGTATTGTTTGTCACGACCAAGCGTTGAGGCGAGATACTAGGTGAATCTTATCAATAACACTCGTCTAGGCTATATTTGCTTAACAGACAACGCTTTCCTGTGATGCAGCGTTAACCGGGTGCACCCGTGCAACACTTAATCAGCACACAGTGTCACGTGACAAGTTGGAGTCATAGTGTGGTATTATGAAGTCAACCCCACCCCCCATCTCCATAAATTCCACTCTTGGTTGATCATCACCAAGGATAGAATCACACCCTCTAGGATGACATCACCTTTCAGTATGAAAATACTCTCTCTGGCATAAACCCAATTCCCCAGGAGCAAAATACACCCCGGAACAAAATGAAATGATCCTGGGCTGAAATCACCCTTCAGTATCAAAATACTTTATTCGGGATAAAACCAGTCCTCATAGGAGCAAAACACACCCCTGGAACAAAATGAAATTATCCTGGGATGAATTCCCTTTTCAGTATCAAAATACCCCCCTTCGGGATACAATCAATGCCCTTAGGATCAAAATACACCACCTGAACTTAATGGATAATTACATGTCAATATTTTAACACAATAATATAACTCAGCTATTAATGCCACGGAAAATATCTACAGGTCGTTAACGGGTGTGAGTGGTATTACATGTTGACAAATAATATTTTCCTTATATGAAACACAATGTTTTTTTTAATTTAGAACTTTCAAAGACACTGCATATGACTGTCGCTATCATCAACTGGACAAAAACTATTGGTGAATTGAAGCCTTAATTTATTTCTTCCATATCCATATTCATCATAAATATAAATAATTCGGAAGAAGAAGAAGAAAATTAGTGTAGTACCGTGTCACATACTTTCCAGATATATATAAATGTACATTTCGCCGACCAGTTGAAGAAATATTCGGCCTTTCAGGCCTACGAGACACGACTGTACATTAACATTGCGTTAAAATATATAAAATGTAAAACTCATAAAAAATATTCTAGCAATATTACCAAGGTTATGATACATGACATACAAAACAATTGTACAGAACAATTACACCTTGTGGACGGATAAATCGCTTTATAGATAGAATTTGTTGTTACCGTGAAACAATTATGTTACCGCT